GATGGGTAGGAAAAATCTGTCATTTAAAGGACTTATCTTATAAAAACCATATACAAACAGAGTTGCATTGACACTTTTGTATAAAGACATGCACATAGAAAGGTGTACGTTTGGTATTCTATCTTTTTTGTTTTCTGACAAAATGTTGTTTCTCTGAAATTTGTCACAACGTTGATCAATTTTTGGACATTTGGATATAAGCATACTTTTCTATTGATGTTTGTTTTTGTACACTGTTTTTGTGTCTCTGTCTATTTGGTACAGAGATGGGTATAAAATAAAATTGTATTTGAAAATTTTCTTTCTTGTGATGAGCACTTCAGAACACATAATTGTGCATATTGTTCTAGGTTATTTTGTGTAAAAATAGTGTGACTCTGGCAACCTGCTGTGAAAGCAATAAGTGTAGTTTTTTGTTATTTCATACTTGACTGGTGAAACTGATCCAATCATAACATATACATTATATATATATGCATAATGTTATTAAATGAGGATTATTTGGTAATAAGGCCAAAATATAACAGAAAACCAAAATCATGCTTTTCATTATTGCTAATATTGTACCTTCACATGCAAGCATGAATCTTTGCATAGACATGAGTGCTGCCTTGATGAGGATTCCAAAATCTCTTTCCTGCTGCTTGTCTGATTGAAAGTCAAAATCATAAAGATACACAAGTAATGGCCCAGTAACAATGACAAGAGGCACAAAATATTTGCTTAAAGGCTTGTTATTTTGACACCAGTTCCAATAAAGAGTTAATCCATTCTTTTGAATGAATGCAATTGTGAAGCACAGATCCAAGGTTAAGGCATCAGTGACTATCAGTTTCTGCTTCATTAATGAACCACATCTATTTATGCATATTTTTTCAATAAACAATTCCAACCTGAGGCTGCATGTAAGGCCACATGTCTCTGAAATAAACTAACCACACATCTAACCACACAAACTAACCACATATTCTCATTTTATTTATGTGCAATATTGCATAATGCAGTACAGCACTCCTTTTTTGTGTTTCCATTTGTGATATACGCCTGGCAGCAGAAAAGTAGAAAATATGCATAGGAAATACAGAAAGTCTCACTTAGTGAGATTTGAAATGTTGAAAATTTAACTTGAAAGAACAGCAGTGTACATCAGGGTTGAAGTGCAGTAGATGAATAAATTAACCATTCAAATCAATACTTAATTTTGTATAAATTTAAAAGAAAAAAAAATCCAAAAGAAACAGAATTATAACTTCTCTCACCCTCTGCCCCGCACTTCAAAGTCCATACAACTTGGTGGATGTTCATCTGAGGACTAAGGTAGAGTTTCCAAACGTCCTAAATGAGAACGATTTTACAGTCAACCCAAAACAATAACCAGCACAAAAAGTACTTTGGTTAGATCCAGTGTAACCTGTAAGCAACCTTTTTTTTTCAATTTGTACATATTTCAGGGTCAACAGAACGTTTATTTCCGTTCGTTTGGATTTCTAAACCAATTCTTTAGCTCATTGACGCCATCTGTTGGCATGATGTTGGCATAATAACAATTATAATTTTGACATTAGTAGAAAAACAGTCACCTAAACATAGTTTATTAAAGTTGTTTAGAGTTAAATTCGAATATAGACAGTAGTATATCAGTCCACAATACAGATTTGTGTTACATCTGTTATGATGCAATTTTGTGCAATAATGTGCAAGTATCTTTGTTTTATTTTATTTTATTTATTTTTAAAATGTTTTTCGACTGTCGTAATTTACCTTAACATGATAGATAAAATAGGCCGTCCTAATAAATTAAAGCTTTTGAATGTGCAAAGGCTAATGGAATTAAAGGGGTTTCTAAAACCAAAAACAAAGCAGGCTATTGGGCTGATTGCGTTTTTTTTTTTAAAAAGAACCCATGGAAGAAAATATTGAACAGCATCCACAACATTCTTCTTGAACGTAAGAGCAACAATTTCATGTCTCTTAAAGTTAAGGGACTACTGGCAGAAAATCGCAGAGATGGACTTGGTGAGGGCTGTGACAAGTTCTGTGCTGATGTGCAAGGCCTGTACAGTGCATGTCTGGAGTATCTGGAGAAGTGGATGACTCCCATGGAAGAGTTCTCAACATTTATGTGGATGGATATGAGTGAGCCACCAGATTGGAATGATGTGGAGGCCTGCATCAAGTACCTAAGAGAGAAGGGGGTGCCAATTGATGATGTCAAGTGTTTTGACCAGGTCACCAATCTGAAGAAATTCATAGAAAGGTGCAACAGTGATGAGGAGTTCGTTGGCCTGCAGGTGCACCAGAAGTGGACCAAATACTTTGAGAAGGCCAAAAGCATTGCATGCTACTCAGAACTACTGAAGATTGCACAGTTTGTCTTTGCACTTCCCTCTCACAATGCAAATGTTGAGAGGGTTTTCTCACTGATGCAGAGCCAGTGGACAAAGGAGAGGAACCAGCTCTCTGTTGAGTCATTGAAAGGGATTCTATTTGTGCAATACAACTTCAAAGACACTTCTTGCAAAGACATTCATGCTTATTTGTTAAGCAACAAAAAACTGCTGGGAAAGATCAGCTCTACAGCAAAATATAGATGGGCAAACAAGGAGGATGAGGACGAAAAACAGGATGAAGAGGAAAACGAGGATGAAGAAGAAAACTAAAGATATAGATATTTTTTGTTAGTTAGTTTTTGTAAGTTTGTGAGAGCTATTTTTGTTAAATTTGGATTGCTACTATAGCAGAGGTATTTTTTAGTTATTTATTATTTATTTATTTATTTTTCTAATACAGAAGAGACATTATTTATATCATTATTTCATTCGTTATTTTTGAAACTTGTCATAATAAAACATGTTGAGTAACCTCTGAGAAGCTTATCTGAATTTGTGTCTTTGGTTATAGATAGTATTTTGTAATATAAAAATGTTCTATCCATACAGAGGAGGCATTACTTTAAATTTATTGAAATTATAAGGCATCTTTGAGTAAACTTCGAGTATCATTTGAGTATCTCATTGCCGGGCCGAGTGTCCTGGTTTTCGGTAGTCAAAATATGGTCACCCTAGACTAAGGTAAATATTACCTTAAATGAAAATGAGAACGATTTTACAGTCAACCCAAAACAATAACCAGCACAAAAAGTACTTTGGTTAGATCCAGTGTAACCTGTAAGCAACCTTTTTTTTTCAATTTGTACATATTTCAGGGTCAACAGAACGTTTATTTCCGTTCGTTTGGATTTCTAAACCAATTCTTTAGCTCATTGACGCCATCTGTTGGCATGATGTTGGCATAATAACAATTATAATTTTGACATTAGTAGAAAAACAGTCACCTAAACATAGTTTATTAAAGTTGTTTAGAGTTAAATTCGAATATAGACAGTAGTATATCAGTCCACAATACAGATTTGTGTTACATCTGTTATGATGCAATTTTGTGCAATAATGTGCAAGTATCTTTGTTTTATTTTATTTTATTTATTTTTAAAATGTTTTTCGACTGTCGTAATTTACCTTAACATGATAGATAAAATAGGCCGTCCTAATAAATTAAAGCTTTTGAATGTGCAAAGGCTAATGGAATTAAAGGGGTTTCTAAAACCAAAAACAAAGCAGGCTATTGGGCTGATTGCGTTTTTTTTTTTAAAAAGAACCCATGCCGAGCATAAAACAACCTGCAGCCCTTTTTAAAAGCGCGAGAAAGCCTGAAGCCATAAACACACCTGTTGACAAGCACACATACTGCATGCACAGAAATATGGAATTGTGTTAGACACTTACACAGTTGGATTAAAACGTGCACACATAAAAGCAGGCACATTATTGTGTACCATATATAGTACACTGCACTTCTGTTGAAGTGTTTCAATTATTTACATGTTTGCACTTCTGTTGAAGTGTTTTAATACTTTAAATGTATGTACTTTTGTTGAAGTGTTTAATTTCCTTACATTTGCACTTCTGGTGAAGTGTTTTAATTATTTATACTATTATGAATATACTATATATGAAGTCACTGTCAGTGGCACAAGTAATTATTAAATATTGTGAAAAATTTATATTAAGAAATTGTATAATGTCCCATCATAAGCAAATGTATAACCTAAGCACAAACTAGCTGAAAATGTGTGTCCTGTTTGTAGCATACAATTTTTTATTTTAAGAAGCCATTTAAAAAAAGCAAAAAAAAACAAAAACACATTATAGTGTATTTAGAATACATTTATTCACATTTAACATACAGTTTACCAATTTGACTTCACCCTAATTTTAATAGCTAACCCATTTCACAATAGCCAAAAACCAAACTGTCAGATGTTAGTGCTTTTTTTTGTTTTGTTTTTTACAAAATTAACAACTTCAGTATTAGTAACTTTGATGTATGAATATAACACATCAAGGTCTGTGGCTTTTTAACAGCCCAGCCCAGTCCAGTACAAAACTACATTAAATGAGTTAGCTAGGTAATTGGTGACCTAAAACAGTATGTCCTTTTAAAGTTGGCAGAACTTTAGGCACGGTTGCCTATTTGTGCAGATAATCTTGCAGAAATAAGCAACAGATTTAGAAGAATAGTCTTGTTAATCTGTTCTAAATACCAGACAGAATCACGTGTTTACTATGAACTAAAGCTCTCTGTTGCCATAGAATAGCTTCAGGGGTTCGCCGCCGTAAGAGTGTTGCTGAGTCACACTGACCTTAAGGAAAAACATTCAGCAGAAATGTTATAACTGCACACCCTCAAAGTCAACGTACCTAAGTGTTATCTTAAACCATCTCCTGTATCAAGTGTGCTAACAAAACTACAAAAAGATTTTGTTTTTCTTACCTGATGGGAATCATGGTAAAGGGAGCTACAGAGAACTTAGTTTCATTTCATTTCCAAGCAGTTAAGTCTATGGTTAGCAATATCTTGTACTAATGGATGAATCAAGTAAGCAAAGCAAGTCAGTCAAGTGATGAAGAATACAATATTTAATCAGCAAGTAATGCATGTACAAAGATGTAAACTTACTGCACGATGAAGAACAGTTAAGGCATCGTTTTAAAGATATTTTTCTAAAAATATTAATTTAGTTTGTGAGAATTTAACACTCTATAAGGCAGTGGAGTGAAAGATTTCCCCTAGTTGGTACTGAGCTTGTTTTCCTTCTATATCCATCTTCACCTGTCCATGGTAGTTGAGTCTGTAAAACTCTTTAGTGATCATCGATAGGGTCTTTCCCTTGGTTTCAGGTAGAACCATCTGAATATATAAAGCAGTCAAGAGGCACACAGCCCCAAATGGCACAAAGCAATACTGCCCTAAACCGCTCTGCAAAAACACACACAGAGGACATTCAGAAGAAAAGGAAATCCTATTCTTAATGGGTATTTTGTCAAATATGTCAGATATTAAGACTATTTTTCTCAAGTTCTCACCACAAGGAAAGGGAAGATCATCCCGATAATGAAAAGGTTAAGCCACATTAGAGAGCCAGCGGTCATGTAGGCGGCAGGACGTGATGTTTGGTTAAAAATCTCTGTTGGGAGGATTCCAGTCACCCCAGCTAGCGTATGAAGAAATGGACACAGTGTTGATAAATGCCAAAACACAGTATAAAATAACACTATAGAATTGGTTGCATTATATATACATTCCACTGTATGTCAGGGTGTTGTAGTTCACCTGGTCCCATGCCAAAGCTGAGAATGTAGGTGAAGATGCAGGTCATGCTCAGGTAAGGCATCCAGCTAACCATATTCTATTGGGTGAAAGGTAAAACCAGATGTCAAAGTTATAGTTAACCAAAGATGACGACACTTCAGTTGAACACTCTAAATGACGATAAAGTTAATGTTGGACATTATGTGTTCACTTTAAGGTTAAACATTAGCTTGTACATAACCTTTCACGTGACTACAGTATGTGTGTGCTGGTAAAGGGAAAG